CCGCTGCAGAAATTGCAGACAAGCTTGGTCTTCACTCCCTCCTCCATCGCCGTAACTGGTAATCTCTCTCTCCAACTCTGCTGTCTCCTAAGTAAGTGCAAACATGTGCACGAACGAGCTGATTTCCTGCACTGAATACTGATTTCTTGCCTTTCTCAGCTTTATCCAAAGCACATGTGCCATCTCTGGGGAAGGGCTTTATGAGGGGCTGGACTGGATCTGGAACAACATAGTTAACAAGGTAGAGAGATTCTCTGATTGCTCTAATTTGAAGCTCTGATACCTTCTTGTGTAGACATCTCTCCTGACTACTATTTCTATATATTTTTTTGCAGGCGTAGATGATTCCTGAACCTTTTTGCCTACCATATAATGAATGACCTTTCAGTTCAGTGTATATTGCCGTTTCTTCTACCATAAAAGATGATGTATTACCGCACGAATTAAAAATGTTTCGTCCAACAAAAGGGTGGATTGTAAAATTTTCTTAGTCACCAAAATTTTCTTATTCCTTTTCTTTGGGCTGAATCTTGGTACTGAAGTATCTTGTTTTAGTCCCATGATTTAATGTGGAAAGTGGAGTGTTTGAAGAAGAGATGTGAAAAGTGGAGCCACGGGATCAGCAGCTTCTTCAATTGATTGTGTCCAACTGTTGTGATTCTTACAATGTTTTACATACAAATATGGTATAATTATGAATTAGTCATACGAGTTGACAAAATTTATATTTACATCTAAGTTGTAATAGTTTATACCAAATATTGTATGAATTATACAACTGGATAAAACTGAACAAAATTTCAACTAGACAGACCCTTGATCTAAATCTAAGTATGTGACCTTTAGTGTCTGGCAGGGGCGGATTTACAGTGGGGGCACTGGGGGCACGGCCCCCACTGCCCTCCTTAAATTCCTATAATACTCCTATAATTTTGATACAATTTTACTGGTGCCCCCAGAATTTTTTTAAAAAAATATGAAAGAATGGGTCACAAAATTTATATCATTCACTTTCCTCCTCTAAGGATCAAATATCAATTATATCAGTCATTACTTTTGGTCCCCACTCTCCAAGTTCCCTTTACTCCTGTGGTCCCCCATTTTACTTCACAACCCACGACTCCTCTTCTTCCACACCCAACTAACTACTCTTTTTTTTTATTACTTCATCCAATCATCATTAATCATTTACTTCCTTTGTCCCCATTTCCCAATTTTCTTTTCCTCTTTTGCCTCTTGGTTGTCCCCACTGAAAATGGTCTCTGGTGTTGTTGACTACTTCAAACAGTGTTCCATTAAAGGAGTAGGCTTTTGAAAACCAAGACCTGCTTTCTTCAGTTCAATCGCAAGAAACCAATCCTTGAAGCTGACTTCTTTCCAATTAAATAACGTGATACGGGGCACAAAGGAAGTAAAGGGACCTAAGTCTGCCACAGTGCCACTGATTTGCAACTCTTTTCACCAATTTTGGGAAACCATTGAAATTAGGTTTTAAACAATTACTTCTTATTATTATTATTTTAAATTTGTTTGCAAATATATTTCTAGAGTATGGGATTATTACTGTTTTAGAGAAATTTGAAAATTGATTAGTTAATGTAATAACTAATAAATGGGTTATTTGATATTTGATAAATATTTTAACTTGTGAAATGGTGATCTTATAGATTTATAATTTATTTTTTATTTTCCATGATTAGTTTCTTATTTGGAGTTAATGTAATGATGAATAGAGGGCCATTTGACATATATTTTAACTTTTAAATTATTCTTATATGGATCCTTTTGTCTAATTAACTTGATTAGGTTCATATATTCTGATTAATGATTTGATATAGTAATGAATGAATAAGTTGTGATTTGATATAGTAATGATATGTTGTGATTAATGATTTAATAAATAACTTTAACTTGTAAAATAGTTCTTGGATAGATTATTAGATTTTATTGTACATTTAATATTTTAATTGGATTAGTATCTTATATATTGATTTTAATTTCTTTAGCTATGGAGAGATATTTCAAGAGGAAATCAATGGAAAAAGAGCCATCTAATAAAGAAGAAGCCAAGGATAATGAAGGTGCAAAAAATGACAATAAAGAAGTTTTTAAATAAAATTATTATTACATTAATAATTTTGAGTTTGTCTTTTTATGTTTTTTCATGGAATATACATATCAATTGTACTTGTTAGTGAATTTATTTATTTTTGCTCAAAAAATTAAAAAAAGAGTAGATAAAAAATTTTAGTATTATTTGTGCCCCCACTAAGATTTTTTTCTGGCTCCGCCCCTGGTGTCTGGGACACTGGTGATCAAAACAATGCGAGTGAAGTGAGCTTTATATGCTTTTTTTTTCCTTCCTCAGTAGAAGGTGGTATCTGAACTTAACCAGACTAATCCACCTTCTAACTTACAGAGCCTTGTCCAAAAATGCAAGCGCGATGTCAGTATCTGAATTTAGCCAGACTAATTCACCTCCTAATTTACAAAGCCTTGTCCAAAAATGCAAGCGCGATGTCTGAGCGGGATTTGAATTGGTGACCTACAAGATATTACCACATGCGACCGAGCTCTCCGCTTGGGGGATGTTGCCATTTGATTAAAATAAATCAATAATATATAGTCACGAGCTGAATGTCAACTCTTCAGTACAGATACCAATAATATGTTGATACGTGTCTTACATTTTTCATGTAGAAAATGATAAAAAGCAAAAGGCCACTTGAACGGTTGAACCCCATTTAGAGGTGCTATCGAGCCGAGTCGAGTTCGAGTAGCACCATACTCGAGCTCGAGTTCGATCAAAATTTGTGCTACTCGAGTTCGAGCTCGAGCTCGATCGAGTAAAAAAATTTAGACTCGAGCTCGACTCGATGAAATAAAACTAAACTCGAGCTCGACTCGTTTGAGCTCGAGTAAAATATCAAGCCCGAGCTACTCGAGCTCGAGCTCGAGTTTTGAAATAAATCTATAATTTTTTTAAAAATATATAATATAAATATATAATATAAATAAAATATGAAAGCTCGATTAAGCTCGACGAGCACTCGAATATTTATTTCTTGAGCTCAAACTTGACTCGTTAAATTTAACGAGTAGAGTTCGAGCTCGATTTTACCGAGCTCGAGTCAAGCTTTTGATCAAACTGCTCGCGAGCTACTCGCGAGTAGCTTGACTTGCTAGCACCGTAGCTCGCGAGCAGCTTGACTTGCTAGCACCCCTAACCCCATTCGTTTTACTTACCTTCGTCATTTTCAGCTAGAATCTGTTTCGTTTTGGGAAAAAAAAAAGAGAACTAAAGGAACGACCCGTGGACCTGTCCCTCATGGATCCGTTCGTGGATCCGCGTCAGCTTCATTTTTTCCGCTTTTTTCTTCGAGCTCAATCCTTGTGCACATCTCCCAAGTCCCACACGCACAATCCCTGAATCATACTAACATCAAATCGAAACAAATCGAATCAAATTGATGCTTTAAAACACTAAGTCTTGAATTTTGAGTGATTTGATTTTAATTCTATTCATTGGACCCAACGACCCATTATTGGATCTTGAAATAGCATGCGACCACCAGCTCATAAGATTCGTATTATTGAGAACATGTAGGAGTTGGGACGACACAAATGATCTTATTCATTTCAAACATAATCATGCAAAGTTTTTTTTTTTAACAAAATAAGAATTTTATTGGGATTTAGTTGATCAAATGTGTCAAGTGTTGAACTATAAACGACTTAGATTATTATTTCTGCCCTTCTCCCAAGAATTGAAGAAAAGAAACAGTTAATATTTTACAACTTTTTCAAGTTTTGACAAACTTTTCTAAGCATTGAAAATATTTTCTAACATATTTTTGGACGAGTAGAACTTGTTTCTATTCGTAACGGGGAAACATTCCCCGAGTCTAAACCTTCTTCTACCCAAAAATTAATTTGTCTAGGAAATTTACCATCCGCAAGTTATTTTGACACACTCAATTTATTTCATGCCAATGACCTAATTTTGGTCTTCTTTTCAAAATTTTCGCCTTCTACCTTTTGTTTATGTTTATATTCACAATTTGTTTAACGGGTGCCCATCGAGTATTCGTCCAAAAGATGTCTACACGTGAATTGTTTGAAAACTTGAAAAGAAATATGGAATGTGTCCAATGAGAAGACAGAAAATAAATGGAATAGGTGCACGAAGGAGGTCTAGACGGGCATCTTATGGCAAAACCGAGTAATATATAACTGCTACCTGGTTTCAAAGGCGTGAAACAAAATGCTCTTTAGATCACGCCATCCGCCAAAATGAAGGCTTCCATCTCTCATCTTTCTCTCTCTTGTGCGAGCAATATACTATCACAAGAATCCCAAGTAGAATAAACTGAAGTCAACACGCTTTATTTAAAAAAAAATGTTGTTCATCTTCTTAAGAATCAGCAATGGTGGAAGTTGGAGAGGTGCAAGATTGGGTTTCTTTCCCGGGGTGCAGAGTCTCACAAGATCCCTGGCCCCTCTCTCATTGCCATTTCCTCATTCCGTCCATTTTTTCTGCTCCAGTAAGACCATGCTTTCCAAATATCTTCGACTATGTATCCATCTATTTGTTTCTTTTAACTGGCTTTATTGCATTTTTCTTTGTGATTTAGTTGAATCATTATGCAGCCATCCAAACAATTTTGCTTAGTACTTAGAGACGAGAGGTTTCTTGAACATAGAAAATATCATTTTCCTTTACGATGTATTGAGGCACATGAACTTGTTTCTATAGGCAGTTCATGCCATGGTTTAATGTGTTTAGCCTTTGGGATGAGAAGAATTTTAGGAACCAAACTCTTCTTGTATAATCCTGCAGCAACCAACCGTTTCCAAACTATCTTCTCTCTCGCATTCCCAAGAGATGTGTTTTTTGGCCACGCAGAAGTGTTTTTCAGCCTTGTATTAGGATATTGTCGATGGACTGATCAGCATAAGATTGTGAGGATTGGTTACATTACCCCTATAACAAGGCAACCATGTTGGGCAAAGTGGCTTGCGAAGTTGAAGTTTATAGTTTAATCACTGATTCATGGAGAACAATCCAGGCAGGTGTTCCTTGTATCGCTGATTATGCTCATCATCGGCCTGTAACGTGCGATGGAGCAATAAATTGGCTGGCAAGCAGAAGGGATGATGAGGTTTGGGACGCAATCATGGCATTTCATGTCAGTAATGAGGTGTTCTCAGCAATAGTTCTGCCTGCTGAACGTTCACCTTTGTCGGATGGGGTTCTGTTGGTATTCGAGGAGTTACTTGCGCTGTTCTGTTCGTGGAATCTCCCTCCTAATGGAAGAGAACAAGAAGAGATGAAATGCTATTATGAGATATGGGTGATGGAGGAGTATAATGTTACCAAGTCATGGACTAAACAGTTTATTGTTGAGACAAAGAAGGTATTGGGGTTTACACAGGATGGCAAACTTATTCTTCTTCAGATGGATAACTGATACGGTAGTTTCATGGGATACTAGAGATCAACAGTTTAAAGACCTTGGGATTAACGGCGAATTCTATCACAATGTAGAAACTCACAACAGGAAAACTGTTGTACCTTGAAAGGTAATGTAAGATGACAAACAACTCTATTGTGGAATCCTCAGAACATTTCTTTCTATGTTTTTTTGGCCCTTTCACTAATGTAATTAGAGATGATGAAAGCCAATTCAATACATAGCTGTTCTGCACTTTGTAGAGATAATAAAAACTCGAAAAAGCATGCTTATGGGAGATTGTACTTACAGTCCAGAACTAAAGTTGTGGCCAAGTATTCAGGTTAAGCTCAAACAGCATTCCACTTAACAGAAGGGGGTGGTGATTTCATCTTTCATCTTTGTCATGCATCCTGGAAACTGAGGTTCTGCAAACTTCTGCGTGGCTTGTACCTCTTAGCTACCTAGAAAACTCAAAAGATCTTTGTTGCATAGCAAAAGGAAATTCATTTGTCATTGCTACTCTACCAAATCTCTTTCCCTCTGGACGTTTTACATAAGCAAGTATAGACCACATCCAGGAAACTGAGTCGTGGAGTGCCAGAGTGTGGACTAGAAAATGGATCAAACCTGTTGCAAATTCCTAGATCTTAATGTTCTGCATAGCTAAATGCTACATAGAGTCAGCCCTTTGTGATAAGTGTTACACAATAACACGTTAGAATATCTAACTGACTTGCTAGGCACCAAAGTTACTGCTACTGCATTCCTGAAGTACAGACTATTTAGCAACAAATAAGTAAACATGCACCACCACTATGGAGAAGGGAGGTTCAAGTCGTCCAAGCGGATGCCATGTTGTGAACCGTTACAAATACATGATACATTGCGGTCGAAACAAACAGAGAGGGAGGGAAGAAAAATGGTAGGTTTAACAGTTTTACAACTGTTTGAAAAATTACGAAAATTGTAAAAGAAGAAATAGCTTACTAAAATAAAAGAAAAAGGAAGTTTAAAGTGAACCAAAGAGTTTACTACTGATCCTAAAAGATGCATAGACATGATAAATGGCCCACTTGACATCCTCAGCAGAGAAAGCTTCAGTCCTGCAGTCTAGGCCAAACCTAGCAGGATATTCTTCAAGAACAACTCCAACTTCATCTGCAAGAGGCTTCAACCCCCATCTGCTAAAATAATGCTTCCTTAGAACCCTGTAAACTAAATGACTGAACTCAATCCCATTTCTTTCCAGGAAGAATGGCCCGAGATACAACCTGTCAGGACCAACATTTACAAAACATATTTCTGGATTAGCCAAAAAATCTCTTAGTGATTCAGGAACATAACCCAGATCATCTTGCTTAATAAGCAAGCAATAATTCTCTACACAAAGTTGCACAGTAGAAGGTGAATCCCGTGGCTTAGCCATGATACACACTAAGGCTGGGCGTCTCCAACACAGACTTTTAAGTTCACTTATACCACATTCCAGCGAAGCAACATCAGCTGCTACCCTCACCGCTACTTCGTCACCATGAATTGGAACTTTAAGAGTATCCATGCTTGAGAGCAATTCCCGAGAATCCATGATCCTCATACTTTGGCTAGTTTCTGCTACTATTGTGCTGGCCATTAAAGTATCAGCATTAGTATGAAGAACCAAGAATATCAACTATGACACAAAAAATCAGTAAGAGATCTTTTTGCTAAAGTTCTATTTTGTCTATAAGATAATAGTTCAACTTGCAACTTTGTGGAAGAGAATATAAGACAATCATACAGCCTTTATCTTCTTAAGTGCAACTTTCACCAATACCATGTACCAAAACAGGACAAAATCTGTTGAAGCATTAAAAAATTAAATGAACCTCCAGACAGGTAAAGAATGAGGAAAAAATTGATTAACTGTTTTTTTTTTCCCTTTCTCTAGTTAATGGTGATGAAACTACACATCACTGGAACACTAAATTGGAAAGCCAATTTGCCAGTCATAAAGTTCAACCTAAACAAATGACAACATCAAACAAATTAAAATCTTTCATGAAATACTGACAGGAAACTAAACAATCTGTCAACTTACCACTCTACTCTGACAATCATCAAATTCCGTTATCAGCTGTGTTTAATATATCAATCGCTCGTATTTGCAGTAAATGGAAAGTTACAACACTCAATAATTTCTCTGAAGGATGTAAAACAATAGAAAAAGCGGAAATTTTACACCTGTGCAAGCTAATCTAGTAATTTGTCATCTCCAGTAATTGTCATGGAACTTGAAACCTTTGAAGGATTGAAAAGTTGTTTCCATGGATGTCATCAAGTTAGTTTTAAAGAAACTCTCATCTAATTAACAGTCAATATAATCTTCTGATTTTCTAACTAAAACAAATCATTCCAGAGATCATGGACCATTAAGTTAAAAAAAAAAAAAAAAAAAGAACAGACAACCAAGAAAACCAGCCAAATTAAAATGCAATGAGACTTAAAATTTGTTGCCCAGGAAAAGAAAATCTTCTCAGAATGTAGAAACGCTGGATTTCATAGCTAAAATAGAAAATGAGGACAACTTTGAAGGTAGTTTTCTTATTTTTTGCAAGATGGGGTTCGTTAAATGTGTATATTTTGGTTACTGGCAGTGCTTTAGAAGCCTACCAGGCTGGTATAGAAACACTAGATTTCATAGCTAAAAAAGAAAATGAAGGACAACTTTGAAGGTAGTTTTCTTATTTGTTGCAAGATGGGGTTCGTTAATGTGTATATTTTGGCTACTGGCAGTGCTTTAGAAGCCTGCCAGGCTGGTAACATGGATCCAAATTGTTCATCCTTTCCCCCCCTTAGGTACAGTAAGCTAGCTGGTTATTATCTGCACTCCAAGCCGAAGCCGAAGAGGCAAAGGAGAGGAGGGGAAGCCGACGGTCTCACTGCCAAGTCAGGTCAGATGCTTTCCCAAATCATCTTTCCCTGCCTCGGGTAGAATCGAGTAATTAGAAGCTCTCCCGAAGCTTCCTTCTTTCCTCTCATGTCTAATGTTGGTGATACCGGAATATTAGAGGGTTTACAAAATGCTCTCCCAGAGCTTCTACCCCCAGATTCTAACTTGTTTGAAAAGAAGATCTTTAAAGCCTAGACCTGGAATAGTGATTAATACATTCTAAAGCAGCCAAATGTAAGAAATGCCGCAAATAAGACTAAGCAGCTAATGATTCTCACTACTCTGGATCACCCAATAACAACAGTTAGCAGTTACCACAAGCAAACAGATTACTATTCAATTCAGTGAGCATATGAAAGTCCCAGAAGTTGTTCAGTTGGAAAGCAGTTTCTCAAAAATTTTCTTGCAAAATTTTTCCCACCACCCTCTCCAACAACCTATATATCATGCTCTACTCTTCAAGAAAGTTATACAATAGCATTTTTCTAAAAACTCTTAAAAATGCAGCTGTCTTTTGATTGCTTCTGAATTTACTAACAGAATATACTTTAACTTTTGCACCAACAAAAATAACTTCTTTCTGACAATTGTCTTATCAAAATTCTCCAACACGACGAAGATTTACTTTCAGAAGGGGCCGTTTGGTAATGTTTTTGTTTGGTGTTTTTTTGTTTTTGTTCAGAGAATTCAACAGACGAAAACAAAAAACAATTTTTGTTACGGTTGTTTCTGTTTTTGCCAAATATGAAATGGTTCAAAAGAGGGGCCCTGTTTTAGATACACCAAAAAAGATGTTTCTAGTTGTTCGACAAGCAACATTTAGGACACGAGCCCTTTTATTTCTCCTTATAGCAATTTTTCATTGTCGCACTCTGTATCTCCTGCTCTGAGACTTCAGTTCAGCTGTTCAAGGTAACTTTCTCAAACCCTCACTCCTTTCTCCCTCCCTAAATTCTAAAATTGGTGATCTCCTCTCCTCCTACTCTTCCTCTGCACCCTTCCCGCGGCCCTCCCCACTTTAGATCATGGATCTCTTTGTCATCTGCTTCTGGTTTCTTTTCTTTTTTCTCCAGAATTAAAGCCCTAGAATGATCCCTTCTGATTTCTTCTTTCCTCATAAATGTTTGTCCCTTTAACTCTACCTAAACTTGCCCTTTTAATTTTTTTTTTCTTGTTTGCAAACCAATAGATTTTTACAACCCAAAAATATTCTGTGGGTGTTGTAGAGTTAATTATTTCGACAGGAAACAGGGAATTTCAAGTAAGATTTTCCATCTTCTATTGTTGGTATTTTTGTTTGATTATTTATTAACACGATGCATTTAAATCATAGCTGAAGAGAGTGGGATCCGGGCATAAGCAAGAAGCCAAGTTAAACCTGAAAATGTACCCCAAGCTTATTGTTCTGGTTTAAGTACAATTAACATTGTTTCTAGTTGCTCTATCTTTGTGTTTTTCCAGCAATTGTTCTTGGTGATTTGCCCCCACCCTCCAGCTCTTCTAAGTATTGTATGTAAACAGAAAAAATACAAGACAGAAAGATAAAGAAAATAGCCTTAATACTTTGGTGGAAATATTCTGATTATTTAATATTTAGTTATTAATTAATGTTATACATGTTTAACAAATTCGGTGATTATATTAGCATGTCCGTCATATGCATCTATTATTGCAGGATTTGGTAAAGGATATCATTTGATTGCAAAATAACATGTTAAATCATATTCTGGATATAAGATATCTTTTGAGGCTTTCAGATTTGGTGCTGATTCCAAGAAGTTCTTCCACTGCATTGTGTTGAGTCTGTTGACTTTGGCAGCCAGGCATCAAAATTTCCTCTGAAACATCTCTAACCAAACATGTTTGATTTTTTTCATTTTTTAAACAATTTTGTAAACCAAACGTGTTTATGTTCAGTTTTTGCAAAATAAATAAATAAATAAAAACAGAATAAGTATTTTGTTCTGTTCTTAGAAAAGAACAAAAACAAAAAAACATGAACGTTACCAAATGGGCCAAGTTAAATATTTGATGTATCCTACGTTTTTCACCAAAGTCAGACACAAACAGAGTCAAGAAATATCCC